GAGCGTATAATGACAAATTTTGTCATTATACGCTCCTGATATAATATATGTGCATACGCATATGCGTACATAGAAGAGTACATGTCATTGCACACACGCACGCTCGCTCGCTCACACACAGACGTGATGCGACTTGATGTGATCATAACGTACAAGAGCGCAAAAACGATATATATTTTGAATTGTAAATGCAGCGCATATTGCGCTTTTACCTGCAAAACATTCACCAACATGTAAGCGTATTTTCCATGGAATTTAGATGCGCACCGCTCAGGTGTACTGCATCCTACAACTGACCGTTCAACACAACAACGTGGAGTCAGTCTATGCACTTAGCAGGGCGTTGAAATTCGCAGTGAATAGATTCAAACAAATTTCACTAGAGGCAATATTATGAGAGAAGAACTTATATGGCAGGAGCAGGATGATGTTTTGTATATTCTAATAATACTTTACTTTTGTATTTCTTCAGTTTTACTCACTGGATTTAAATTTGAATTACCAAGGTCACACATATACACTGAAGCATTTACATATATATACGAACACATAGCAAATTAGCAATTGCCTTTATTGAGATACACAGAATTACACGTGGTCACATAAGCGGGCATGAAAAAAGCTACCACATGATAATCTAAGATGATATAAAGTGTACACAGACTGTACGTATAGTTTATTTTCTCGTGCATAACACAGCTTATGCTCTGACATACGGAGTAAATAATAAGCGCACAGTAAAATAATTATCCATTCCCGCCAACTTCACAAAGGGAACACCATATCTAAGATACCTAGTGCAGTGACGCGACTCTGGTGCTACCCAGCTGGCCGGCGTGTAAAGATCGCTCGCGATGCTTCACAGTAACCGCGATGTTTAGATGTTTGCGGGAGAATTGCGGTCAGGCCTGACGGGAATTCCTAAACAAACCGATACTTTTCACAATAGTCGTTACGATTGCTGATGTCCAGCCCCCACATGCCGCCAAAACCACGAGAGGCAAAAACGCTTTGTAGCCGAGTCAGCAATATATCGGCTGCCATGTATGATGTGTCGTGCCCATCCAGGCCTCTTGGCCTTTGGCTCCCTGGTAGATACACTAGACCTACACGTTAGACCGAACAAGGATGAACAGCTAGAGGATATCTTCGAGCGCTGAGGTGCAGAAATGCAATGGTTGCCTTTTTTTTTTTACTGCATTTTCATTGCATCTCCACATCGCGCAGAAATCTTGCCTACATGTGCGATAATTACACAAGCACGTCCGTGTCGTGGCGCCACCTGCAGGTTGTTTTTGTTGTTATTGTTCTTGTCGGTTTCTACCACACGCTCGGTTTCACCGGGACGGTTCGTATCCCTGGGGATCCATACCCTGTTCCATCAGCGCCACCGAGCTATCCCGCATCTTCTCTAGGAACCTCCGAAGTTCCTCCTTCTGGAATACCTGCGAGAATAAAGGAAGACCGTCAGTTTCTAGCTTCTGTTTCAATACCAGGCTACATGGCAGCAGCAGGCGCACTCGTACTGCAGCAATTTCTCGCCACGGTCAGGCTATTCATCATATCAGGAGTAAATCACAGTCGAATATTTTACACTGATTTACTCAATTAAACTCTGTGATGTACGCATTACTTGCTCCCGGTAATATATTACGAAATTCCTGGTTATAAAATACGAGATGAACGCCAACTCTAAAGAAGATTCGTACGGCCAAACGATCTGACAACAGCAAGAAATGATGAATACGTTCATTCAGCCTTGATGCCAAAAAAAATCGTCGTCATAAAAAGGTGTTTGGCGAGTATATCGCATTTTGCACGATTTACTTGTACGAATTATGTGCTAAGGTTGGTAAGCAAAAAATACAACAAACAGGGCAGGAGGTGGTTTGTCAGTGCACTCACACAGTTGCCATGAGAACAGCTGTGAGCAAAGAAACAGAGATTTCAATCTAGGCAATCATCGCTAGGAATGCTACACCAGCCATTAATCAATTGCAAATATCTAAATTCTATCTTGAGTGTATCTCAAGGTCACCTTAACAGTATAGTATAGTGCATGGCAGTATTGGAAGAACCGCTGGATTGCACACGTGGGCAGCAACGGGATGAAAAAAACGTTCTTCGATCGTGCTATGGTCGTTTTACGCCGTCCCTCAGAGAACAAGAAACGCATGCCCGCGCGCGAGAGACGTAAATCACAGAGCGCACCCAGCATTGCTGGTCTGCTAGGTCATGCACGTGCATCCGCCGCATGCCACACCGTGTTTCGGGTGCACTTACGTGCAATTTCTTCGCTGGTTTTCGCTTATTAGTTTTACATGCCGATTCGACCACTATGAGACTTTCACTAACAGAACTGCTGAGCTGCGTTACTGTGGAAGAGTGGTTACTGCCAGATTACCCATGATCGAGTTCACTCGCTACGCCGCATAAGTGCAAGTTTTTCAGATTTTCCGGAACGTAAACTTCAACGTGTTTACATGTTCGAAACCGTGTGGAAATGAAGGGCTACTGCGTACTGTTGTGGTTTCCTGCATTCTTACTTCAGGCTTATTGAGACCCCTGGGCGAAAGGTGCACAGAATGCTCATTCTGGTGGCACCGTCTTACACCCACGTGCACACGCACGTAAGCAAGCCCTTACTCACGCCCACAAGCATGCACAACCTATCCGTCAATAAAGTGATATAGCGACTCTCTCTTGAAAATTGTTGCTAAGGCAGTCAAGCCACAGAGTTTACACCCGTTTTTCCAAATTGTTGACTTTGAGGCACTTTGACACAAAGCATCATAATTTAGAATTGATGATTGGTCGACTGACTAACTAATGCTGCCTGTCAATTATGGCAGGTGGATAGGTAAACTTAGCGAAGCACCTCGAACGTGTGCCGTGAAGGCCTGGACAGTCTCTAAGGACAAAGATTGACTATACTACTACCCCGCAAAGGTTCATTTAGCTTACGAAATGACACCATCCAGCTATAAAGTTAGCGATGAATTACTAGTTCCAACTAGTAAGTCAATGGTAGTAACCTTAAAAATAAAGTCGGACTAGAAAAAGGAAAAAGAACAAAACGGAAACGTCTGAAAAACCCACCCAGTCCCAGTTTCGATAATTTCTGATTTCTACTAACCCAACCCAAACGAAACCAAAGAAATGATCCAACCCTCCTCGATAGTTCGTGTACCATTATCCAAAACAAAATTACACTTACAGTTTCTTATACGCAGTGTAATGAGGTCCGGTCTACGAGCAAAAGTTAATATTAGGGACTAATTTTAAGACTAATGTCGTTTCGGTCAGTCGTTCGGGCGGACGGCCGGTTGGGCGGGCGGTAGGTCGGACGGACGGCCGGTCGGACGGACAGGCGGTCGGGCGGGCGGTCGGTCAGTCGGTCGGTCGGTCGGTCGGTCGGTCGGACGGTCGATCGGTCATGGTCGGACGGACGGTCGGTCATGGTCGAACGGGCGGTCGGTCATGGTAGGACGGACGGTCGGTCATGGTCGGACGGACGGTCGGTCATGGTCGGACGGGCGGATGGTCAGTCGGTCGAACGGTCGGTCAGTCGGGCGGTCGGTTGGTCGGACGGTCGGTCACAGCCGGGCGGACGGTCGGTCGGTCACAGTCGGGCCGTCGGTCGGGTCCCCGTCGGCCGTCGGGCGCGGGTCCGCGGCGTCGGCCGGTCCACAGTCGGTGTCGGCGCGGCACGTCGGTCGTCGTCGTCGGCAGTCGGTCGTCACAGTCCGGCGGTCGTCGCGGGGTCGGTCACAGTCGGTGCAGCGTCGTCACAGTCGGCAGTCGGCGTCCCACAGTCGGTCGGTCTGTCTGTCACGAGTCGGTCGCGACGGATCGGCGGCGCACCTGTACAGGCTGGTGATGCGAAGGCGATGACAGCGCGAGCTGTAGACACTCGCGTGCTGCCCCGTGCCGCTCATCCAGCGTGCAGCAATACGTCACCGCGGGATGCACAGCGCCACGCAGCCAGCTCCATCGGTGCACGCCTCTCCTCTGACCTCGCGCCTGCGCGGCGCCGAGAGAAATAGGGGGGGAAGGGGGGGGGGGGGGGGGGGGGCCGAGGACACGTTAGAAAATGATGGCGATGAGCGAAACTGCTAAAAAGTGCTCTTGTCACAAACACACTAACACCCAAGAGATCAGAAATCAGAATTGACTATATAATAGAATTATATATATATATATATATATGTATAAATACTAACAATATATTAATTATAGATCACATATGACTTATTGTATTAATGAGTAGCGAGATTCAAGCATGTATCAACTATATAATATATGAGTTATTTTGAAACGTGTGTGTGGCTGCGCATGTGTGCATGCATTGTAGTGTGTCTGTCTGTGGCATGCGTAATGAGATGTGTGGCAAGAGGAAGCACAAGCCGTACACTGCCTCCCTTGCACACTCTCACCTTGCATTGGTCAAGTAAAGGCAATTCAGCCAGCCATACACTGTGTGGTGCGTGCGTGCTGTGTGTGGCCGTGCGTGCGCTGTGGGTGTGTGTTGTGTGTGTGTGCCCGTGCTGGCGGGCGTGCTCTGCGTGCGTCAGTGCGGCGTGCATGCATGCAAGCATAGCAGGTGTGCGGCACGTACGTGTGTCTGCATGCAAGCAGCGTGGTGTGCTGCACGTGACGTTGTGTATGAGTACAAGTGTTATGCATGCGTGGAGTGGTATGCATCAAGGTGAGTGGTGTGCTGCACGTGAGTGTGTCGCATAAAGTGTATGCTGCGTGTGAGTGGTATGCATGGCGTGTGAGTGTTATCATGCGTGTGAGGTATGCATGAGTGGTGTCATGCGTGTGAGTGTGTAGCAGAATGTGTATGCATGCATGTGGTTGATGCATCCGAGTGTGTCTGCATGATGTGTAGCATGCGTGTGAGTGTGTATGCATGCGGTGAGTGTGTATGCATCGAGTGTGTAGCACGCCATGCATGTGTAATGCATGCCGTGTGAGTGTGTATGCATGCGTGGAGTGTGTTATGCATCATGCGATGTGTATGCATGCGAGTGTGATGCACTGCGAGTGGTATGCATGCGAGCGGCGTGAGTGCATACAACGAGTGTGTATGCATGCGAGCGTCCGTGTTGCGCGTGTGAGTGGGTATCACGCATGCATGGTTAGCATGCGAGTGTGTATGCATGTCGTTGAGGGTATGCATGCGTGTGAGGGTGTAAGGCCTGCGTGTATGCCAACCCATGCATGTGTAATGCATGCGTGGAGGTTGTATGCATCGTGTGAGGGTATCTCGCGAAGTGTGGTTGCATGCTGTGAGTGTGTAGCATGCGAGTGTGTATGCAGCGAGTGTGTTATGCATGCGAGCGTGCGTGAGGTCATACAAGTGAGTGTTATGCATGCATGCGTGCGTGTTTGGCATGCGCGTGAGTGTGTAGCACGTCATGCATGTGTATGCATGCGCGTGTGATGCTGCGTGTGAGGTGTATCATGCGTGTGATGTTATGCATGCGTGTGTATGCACGCATGCAGTGTATGCAGCGAGTGTGTAGCATGCTGTGAGTGTGTCGCATGCTGTGAGTGTGGTATGCATGCGTGGAGTGTTATGCATGCATGCGAGTGTGTATGCTGCGAGTGTTACTGCATGCGAGTGTGTAATCATCGAGCGTGCGGATGTGCATACAAGCTGAGTGTGTGCATGCGAATGCGGGCGTGGTTTGCATGCGCGTGAGTGTGTATGCCACGCATGCATGTGATCATGCGTAGTGTGATGCATGCGTGTGAGTGTGTATGCATGCGTGTGAGTGTGTAGCATGCGTGTGAGTGGTACGCATGCCGAGTGTGTAGCATGCGTGGAGTGGTATGCATGCGTGTGAGCCGTGTATGCATGCCTGTGAGTGTTACGCATTGGCGAGTCGTGATGACATGCGCGTGAGTGTGTATGCACGCATGCATGTGCTATCATGTCGTGTGAGTGTGTATGCATGCGTGTGAAGTGTGTATGCATGCGTTGAGTGTGTATGCATGCTGTGTATCATGAGTGTGTATGCATGAGGTGTGCATGTGCTGAGTGTGTAGCATGAGTGTGTATGCCATGAGTGTGGTAGCATGATGTGTTGCATAGTGTGTAGGGCATGAGTGTGTATCATGCGAGCGGCGTGGTGGCCATGCACGTGAGTGCGCGGCTGCACGTGGCCGTGGGCATGAGAGAGGCTTCTCACCCCCCTCACCTTTGGCCGGTCCCGCATCCAAGCCGCCCATGAATCTGACAGCACGTTGTGCCCACCGATCGACGTGGCCGGCGCGTCTGCATCTGCAAGCGACTCGCTGCCACGCGCTCCGCCCATACTGACGCTGCGGTGCTCGCACGCCACGTCGTGAACGTACAAGCGCCACTGTGAGCGCGGCTTCGACGGTGCGCCGTGGTGGCAGTACTGGAACCAGTCGTTGAACGGAGTCTGCGCATCCTGCCAGCAAGGAAGCGGGTTGAGAGCCTTAGCATATATATATATGTGTGTGTGTGGTCGTGGTGTGTGTTGGGTGTGTGTGTGTCTGTGTGTGTGTGTCTGTGTGTGTGTCTGTGTGTGTGTGTGTGTGTGTGTGTCGGATACGAGGGGGAGACCTAGAGTATGATTTGCTGCTTACAATCCTACAGCCATTATCGCCATCCTCCTCCTCATCATCATATTGCGAGAGGTAAATTGCAGTGCCACTCAAAGTTTTTCTGACTGTCGGTTTCTGTGTAACTAACGTAGGGGGAGATGATAGATACTGAGGCTTGTTATTCTACGCTTGCGTTACACACGAGTACCAATCCGCAACACCAGCAGTATTTGAAACACACACGCACGCACACGCACACGCACACGCACACGCACACGCACACACACACACACACACACACACACACACACACACACACACACACCGCACACCGCAGGTGCACACGCACGCATGCACGCACGCTACCGCCGAGATCTAAAACATAGTCAAATACGTGTTAGCGGACACGTTGTATAAAGGACGATTTTCTTCTCGGGTTTCCACGGCGTTGCACACTTGTGAAGAGACAGATGTGCCACGCAAGCTATGGCGGCGCTAGGACATTCACCTACCAGGTAGGCCTGATGGCAGAGATACTCTCTGACAGCATTGTCATCCTCAGCCATCAGGTCGTCGGAGCCCGTCTCGATCCGCGTCTGCAGGACGATCAAGTCGATCGAATCCGGCGGAATCTTCCGGAACACCTCCCTCGCAGCCGAATGCTTCTTCAGTGCTAAACAACGTGAAAAGCCGGAGTAAATTACAGATAGCAGACAAATGAGAGGTACGCAAATGTTTGTTCTGGACTGAATAGCATGACAGGGTGATCATAGATATGTGAATACTCAGGGCCGCGGCTGAGGTGGAGATAAGAGAGGGGGGACGCTGTGCCATAGGTTTTGGTGAAAAATAATATAAAAACCTAGTAAATGTTAATAATCTTAAAATACGTGTGAATTTTTGCCTAGTTGCTACACTACGCACACTGACTAATGTCTACAGCATGTGGATTTACTACTCCGACAACTGCTTTCATCACTATCTCGTTTGTAATAGAAAAAAACTCATCATCGTTCCACGACTGTTTACAAACACCTCATTCGCCAATCACCAGTAAGAGACCTCGCTCTAAAATCTGTACCTATAAAAGTCCTCATAACGGCATTCGCTTGTTTCATGGCTTCGGCACGCTGTGATTCGTCGAACACGAGCCAATCAATCACCTCGATCTTCTGCCGATCCTCCTGTGTGTGACAATTACGCTAATAAATCGTCAACAATTAACAATCAAGTGGTCCTAATTAATACAACCGATGAGCAAAAACAAAAGCTATAAACTTGTGCATTATATACCATGTATACCACGTGTTATGTACCACATCAATGCCACGGCCTAAGGAGCCAAAGTTGATCCCAGTTGCTATTAGTTAAGTTAGTCAGAGAAGTCAACACTACCGAGAAGTTATTCTCGCTACATTCAACCTCGCGATCCTGGACAGAAGAGAATCACGATCGCAAACGCCTACATGCCCGATGCACCCGAAAACTCCCGAGAGTGACGGCACCGCTGCGAATGTCCGCCGCAAGACGGCGCTACGTACGTTGGAGGTTGCAGCCTCGAGGGCGGGCGTCTTGGCGGCGTCGAGTGTGAGGGTACAGGTGTCGCGCGTGCGCACGACCTCGACGAGCGTCTTCGTGATGAGGGGAACGTCGAGTCCAGCGTCACGCGCCAGCGTCAGACAGTGCTGCCTCTCCTCCCGCTCGCTGATGCCTGAAACGCACGCGCGAGAGATCGGCATTAGCGATCGCAGCGCCATCTATGTTTTCACGCGAAAAATGGAGACGATGAAAACTCGTTTAATTCCGAAATGCACGTGGTCGTCGATAGCGACCGCAGCGCCATCTATGTTTCCGCATGAAAAATGGAGATGACGAAAACTCGTTCACGCCTGAAATGCGTGTGGTCGTCGTTAGAGATCTATCCACCTAGACATCGCCAGCTATGTGCATATTTTTGTGAAAAACTGAGACAAGGAAAAGTCGCCAGCGCCGGAAGGTGAGCGTGATCATTGTTAGCGATAGCGACACCATCTACACCCATTTTTCACGGCAACTAGAGACAATGAGAACACGGTCATGCCTGAGATACACGCGAGTGTATTTAGAGATCGCAGCGCCATCTACACTAACATTTTCATGAGAAACAAATGAATTGGTGAAATAAAATGAAATAATGAACTGATTTGTGACAGAAAGGTGTTTTTTGTTAGCGATGACAGCGCCATCTACAGTGCATCACCTGCTGCAGACCTGAAAACGACCACTCAAGGAGAATACCAAAATCGGCCTTTATGTCCACGTGACCGTTCTACAGAGATGTATACCCTTCCTTGTATAACCTCCGATAAAGAAAACAGACTTGACCACGATACCAACTGATGGCAATCAGGTCAGGCTAAATACGAGCAGTGCTAACTAACGACAGAGCAACGAATCCCACGATGAAACTGCCAATGAACGGCGAAACCGTCATTGGAAACAAAAACGTCGTCATGGCAACCGCAAGCAAACGTACCTTCGAGGAATTTAGCGTACCAGGCAACCTGACGCTCCTGCGGCAGAGTTGACGTGTAAAAGGCGACGAGATCCTTGTAATCGCACTCAATGAGAGCTTGCACGTAAGCCTCGAGGATGGAGATGCACAGGTGTTCCTATATAATCACAATCACACACACACGCGTACGTCACCATCTGCAGCTGCAGGCAACAATGCTTCGATAAGTCATAGTTAAAAATTGCGTCGAAGAAAATTAGAATATATTTGCCACGTGACACAGACGTACTTCTGTACGAAATCAGGTAGACAACCGGGAGCGCACATAGAACCTGGCGCAGGGGTAGAAATTAGTTTGAAAATTTACAGGCCAGCCCGGCCAAAAGGTAAGGGATTTTAGAGGCCCGCCAAGCAAATTTCACAGGCCGGGGACGGTTTTGCATGCTGGGGGTGGATTCCCTACGTGCCCGTCGAGCTCGTTAGTATTAGAAATGTCAGGCCCGAGCCTTAAAATACGGGCATCGGGCCCCTTAGGATTTCGACCCATGCTGGCAGGTATTATTTACCGGCCGCCTACCTTCGTCTTGGCGCCGATCGTGCGCAGGAAGAGCACGAGGTGGGCGAGGAAGCGCAGCAGATGAGCGGGCGGCCGCAGCGACACCCAGTCGGCCGCCTCATCGACGAGAGTGTCTGTGTCACCGACGATCACGCAGCGCTGCACAACGTGGAACGGCTTCGTCGCCTGCTCACGGATCGTCTGTGCGGCGGCGAGAGAGAGACAGAGACAGAGAGAAAGGCAGAGAGAGGCGAGAAGTCGAAACCCATGCGTCAAGAAACAGTGCTGCCCCTCCTACCGTCGATCGAGCGTTGGCCTCTTAAGGCTACAACCGAAACTCATTCGCCGGAGGTTAAAGGAAAGCTCATCCGATAAGCGACAGGCACCGCATTAGTCTTAGACTAATCGAAAGGAACGAAATGGAAAATTAAGCGATCGATCAGCGCCAATCTAATGTTTTCACGGCGAGAAAATGGGAGATCGATGAGAAACTCGTTTTACTTCCGAATGTCACAGTGGTCGTCGATAAGCCGACCGCAGCGCCATCCTAATGTTCCGGGCAGGGAAAAAATGGAGATGACGAAAACTCCGTTCACGAGGATGGTGAGCCTGAAATGCGTGTGGGTCGTGCGTTTAGAGATCTTCCACCCTAGACATTCGCCAGCTTGTGCATAGGTGGTTTGTGAAAAACGGGAGACAAGGAAAAGTCGCGTCAGCGCGCGGAAGGTGAGCGGTGGATCATTGGTTACGGATAGGGACAAGGCCATGCCTCAAGCACCAATGTTGTTCACGGCAACTAGGAGACAATGAGAACACGGTCGCATGAGCGTGAGATACACGCGGGCGGAGTGTATTTAGGTGAAGAGATGCGCGGCAGGCCGGCCATCTAACACTACATTTTCATGAAGAACAAATGAATTGGTGAAATCAAATGTGTTGTTTGTGTTTTTTTGTGTTAGGCGGCGCGATAGACACGCGCCGAGTCTACCAGATGGCAGTCACCTGCTGCAGACCTGAAAAGCCGACCACATTCAGGAGAATAGCCAAAATCGGCCTTTATGTCCGACGTGACTTTCTACAGAGATGTATACTACCTTGACACTTGTAGGAACGCGGTTAACACGATAAAGAGAGGAACAACACACTTGACGGCACTCCGGGCGGCAGAGAATCACAGGACAACACTTTCTGCGATAGAAATGACAGGCTCACTACCGGCCCGTAAATACGAGCAGGCACTGCTAGACTAACTCTCAAGCAGAGAAATGGAGAGCGAGTCCGCGAGCACGAGCGAGGCACAGAGATCTCCACGATATGAGTTATGAGCGGCCAAATCGAACGTGCTGAAGACTGGCAATGTAGGAAACCGCACACAATGCGGTGAAGTAAGAGTCAATTGGGGAGCAACCGCACGCGAACGTAGACGTACACTTCTGCCTCTCGACCGAGAGTATGTTATATTGCAGATCCAGGGTTCTACATGCTGAACGCTTCTACGGCTGCAGTAGTCTTGAACCGGAACCAGAAGACACGTATCACAGAGATCGCTTCGGTGCTCAATAGAATTGCCAATGTAGTCAGCGCACTGCCTCAATGAGAGCTCGCACGCGAACGTCCTATCAGAGCACCAGCACGTAAGAGTGAGTTGCACACACACTGGGCGAAGATCAGCTTCTAACTCACTCATGCATGGAACATATTGACAATCCGCCAGCACCCTATGATTGGCACCGCCGCTTAGACGTGCAGATCGATCAATTCGCGTTGAGCAGCTTATGGAAGCAAGCAATGCTTTGTGAGAGAACAGAATCATGTTTATAAAATTGCGAATCGAGCAAGACAAATTAAACATATAATCGCGTCCCGGACCGAGCAAGGACGTACTTCTGTACGGAAATCAGAGTGAGAGTCATCGCGACAAGGCTGAAGCGCACTATAGGAAACGGTGGCGGCAGAGAGTAGAAGTATTAGTTTGATAAATTTCTACAACGGCCGACACCGGCCCGAAAAAGTTAGAGGATACCGATTGTTTAGAGGCGGCCGCTCGACGACAGGGAACCGGACGACACCCAAATTGGAGCAAGGGCCGAGGACCGGCTTATTTGACACTCTGTTGGGAGTGGAATTCTCATTCATGAAGCGGGCCTTATTTTTCGAGTCTTACCTCCGCGAACTGGACGTGCGAGCTCTCGTTAGAGAAAATATACACCGCAAACGAGACGGACCATTGTCAAGGTGCCAACACGAGAGGCCCAATAAGAGACAGAGATGATCGCAGGGAGGCCAATACACGAGCCCCAGCGATATAAGCTAATATCGAACCAGCTTGGGAAAAATCGCTCACACTATGCTGCGAGGCTATGATAGGAATATAACTGAGGAAATCGCTGCGAATTGGAAGAGAGGCCTCGGCTACCTACCTTCGAGCCGTGAGCGCCCACGATCGCCTGCATCACAACAACGGAGTTAAGCCTCCGGAACTTTTTAGAGACAGACAATCGGGAAAAATGCTTGAGTGGTCAAGAAACATTCGAGTCAAGAAAGACTGCCGCAAAAGACAGGGATGCAGAATCAAACAAGAGACTCAAGCCGAAAAGAGCAGCGAGTGGGCCGAGCAAGCGCCGGCACCGACTGCGCCGGGCGCGCGGCGCACACCACGTCGTGGCCGCCATCATCGACGAAGAGTGTCTGTGTCACCGACATGATGCAGCAGCGCTGGCACACGTGGAGTAGCGGCTGCATCGTCGCCTGCTGCACGATACGTTCTTGTGGCGGCGGCGAGAGAGAGACAGAGACAGGAGAGAAAGGCAGAGAGAGAGAGAGAGAGAGAGAGAGTGAGAGAGACGAGAGAGAGAGCATGGACAGGAGACCCAGAGACAGAGAAGGAGAGAGGCAGAGAAAGAGAGAGAGTGAGAGAGAGACGAGAAGAGAAGAAGAAAGAGAAGAGAGAGAGGAGAGGAGACGAGCAAGAGGAGAGAGAGGAGGAGAGAGACGCAGAGGAGAGAGAGGGAAAGAGAGACAGGAGACAGGAGAGAAAGGCAGCAGAGAGAGAGAGAGATGAGAGAGAGAGAAAGAAGAGAAGAGAGAAGAGAGAGAAGAGAAGAGACAGAGACAGAGAGACGATGACAGAGAAAGACGAGGAGAGAGAGAGACAGGAGAGAGACGAGAAGAGAGAGAGAGAGAGAGAGAGGGAGAGAGAGAGAGAGAGAGAGAGACAGAGAGCAGAGAGCAGAGAGGAGACCCAGAAGATGAGAGAGAGAGAGAGAGGAGAGTAGTGAGAGAGAGAGAGAGAGAGAAAGAGGACGAGAAGAAGAGAGAGGATGAAGAGTAGAGAAGAAGGAGAGTGGAGAGAGAGCAGACGGAAAGAGATGAGAGAGAGAGAGAGAGAGAGAGATGAGAGAGAGAGAGAGAGCAGAGAGAGAGATGAGAGGAGAGAGAGAGAGAGATCGGGAGAGAGAGAGAGAGCACCGATAG